CTTAACAAACAAACAGACATACATGTACTTAATCCCACTGCTTAACAAACAAACAGACTTTAAAAACCATAATTAAATTAACAAAAGTAAACAAAGGATGAGAACGTCCTATGTTAATATAAGCACTTGTCGATCACTACCCTTTATTATACATCTCTCTAATTGATTAATTTCGTCAAGAAGAAATTGAGATGGTCAAAGATATTGTGCCATATATGATCAAAGACCAAAACTATAAATTAATCAAGCAATAATATTATCAAGCAATACATTAAAAAACCATTAAATTACATAAAGAAATTCTCTTTTTGGGGGGAGAGGGTCAGAAGAAGCTAAAACCTCACAACCTTTTTGAATCATGGGAGATTGCTTTTTGTTCCCAACAAGCATGTAATGGGCAATACACAAAGAAAAGAAGGCCTTCTCAATCAATCTTTTCTCACTTTTTTACGCTTTTTGGTTGGGCATGCCCATAAGTGAAAGAAATGAGACCCCAAAGCAACCAGGGCATGTGAAACCACAAAGCCAAGTGCTTCAAAAACCTGTGGCAAGTAATGAGAGTGTGTTAGTGAGTAGGGAAACAAATGGGTCCCCTTTGCTTTGGCATTGCACAACCTCCATCGTTGAGGAGTCAACTTCATTGCTCTCTTTTCCTCCATCAATTCCCCAACACTATCCATCATGAATTCCCTCCAAAAATTGAAAAATTTCTTGCCCAAAACCACATTTCTCTTCATTTTCCTTTTTCCACTTGCACTATGAATAAATTTTTGTAAAAGTAATAATAATTCACTTCATTTTTTTTTCTAGATCCACACGTGTGAATCAGCTCTACACGCATGCATGCATGTACATACCAAAATTTTGTAGTATGAGTGCAAAGCTTTAAACCTTTCCAATCAAAACTTTTTTCCCTTTTCACATGGGTTTTTATTCTTAATCATTCCAATGTCTAAATGAGAGATTATTACCTTTAATTTTTTCTTTGGAACAAAGGAAACTAAATTAAGTTTTGTGTACCTCTTAATCAATGTCTTAATTACATGTTGATATTGAAATCAAGCAAGGTCAGAAGAAGATTTTTGATTGGCTTGTTGTTGCCATTGTCAGATCCAACTAAAAGTGGGGAACATGAAAATAACAGTCTAACAATATGATCAAGTCAAGTTCTTGCTACTTCCATCCTCATATGCTAAATTGTTTGTTTACAACATCTAATTTTCTGTTCATTTTCTAACTTTTGTACCTAGGGAAGAGAAATATCAGTCCATTGGCCCTACCTAATTAGTCTTTGATTAAGCAAATAATTAACAGTAACTAACTTGTATATAGCCAAAAAGAGCTTGGAGAAAGCAATATCCAATCACCAAGATGCCAGCCACCCATTAAGGAAGAAGGACAGCGTAATTATTATTAGTAGATAAAAAGATCTCTTGCTTATAATGCTTGTTTTGGCTTAGTTGCTACAACAGCTTCACCACTACAAAAGTTGAAATCCAAGACAAACAGTTTTTCTAAAAAATTAACACTTGCTTCTAAAGAACTAGAAACTGAAGCTGCAAAGTAATTTATTTAGAATAGAACCATTATTAGTAGACTGAATGACAAACAATTCATGATCATTCAATATAATTTCACGATATATGAAACACTTTTAGAAAAACTCTACTCAAATTGCAGGTATTAATTTTCTACAAAATCTCGATTAAAAAAAATATAAATAAAGTAATGATGGGATTTTCACCATTACACTACCTTAAGACAGTGCTGGAAAAAGGTTACTGTAGTCATGGACCACTCTTGCATAAGTGGCCTCAAGTCTCAACCAATCATTTCACTGAAGTTTTTGTCAGCAAACACTGCAGAAAGCCAGGAAAACTTGTTCATTGGTGAAGACAACAGAACTAGACTGGTCCATGGATTACCAAAGTCTTGTGACTAGTACAAATATGTGCGTTATATATCAGCTGCTCCTTGCAAGACATTTCCCTTGTTCTTTTCAGATTCTAAGCTGCAGCTTCATGAAGGAAACCATAAGATACTTGGCAGGCATTGCTGGGCCAAGTGGGTATGGCTCCAAATCAACTGCAGAGGAAGTTACCCACAACTGTTCTTGTTCTCAGTTAACTGCCATCATCACTGGTTAGTCCTATGTCTTTCCATTAGTATTATGAACAAAAAGTGCTTCACTCTTTATGTTTATAATTTGTTCATGCTTAGAGATCTAGACACAAGTTTGATACATATGCTTTCCTTTCTCTCTTTCTTCTTTTTCTTCGTCTCAACAAGGCGCTACATTTCTGATGAGGGGTTTTCTTGAGTTTTCACTTGGATTCTTGAATTTTCTTGACACATCTTGATCCTGGACAATACAACAAGAATAGCTCTCCCTTTTCAAGCTCTGAAACCCCCTCTTTGTTTGTCCCAAGTTTTGAATCAAAAACCTCTAACTTAAAAGTTTCAAGTTCTAAACATTTGTGAAACATGATACATCTCCAAAGGGATAGGATTCTTAAATCCAAGTATAAGGTTGTGTGTCGTGGGTCGTTTGTTCATGATCTTTTTGTGGTAGAATATTATTTGACGAATTACCCGGGGAAATCTCATGGCATAACTGCCTTCGAGATTCAAGCAATATTACATGATCAGGTGTTATCTTATGTTCAGGTGTATTATCTTATGTTATCTCTTGGGATTATGTCTCTAGACTCGAGCTGGAGAGCACAAACTTCTGATCATCAGCAATATCAAGTTTTTGTATTTATTTTACTAGTGGCTCCTTTTGGTTGAAGAAGGATATCAATTTCTCTTTTTGGATATGTTATCCTTTAATTGGTTCTGACTTCTTCACACAAGATTTGTTTTAACATAAAAATTTTCACCTGAGCACTGTGCTAAATATAAAATTCTCATGCACTATCTAATATTTTAATCGTCTTCTTAATGCATTTTCAATGTTCCATATCCTACAAACATGGGTGTTGACTCTAACAATTAATATAATTGTGAAGGGGCCACTTCCGGTATTGGGGCTGAAACGGCAAGAGTTCTGGCTAAGAGAGGGGTAAGAATTGTGATTCCAGTGAGAGATCTGACGAAGGCAACTGAAGTGAAGGAGAGAATACAGAATGAGAGTCCAGAAGCTGAGATTATTATATCTGAGATTGATCTCAGCTCTTTTGCCTCTGTGAAGAGATTTTGCTCTGAGTTTCTGGCTCTAGGAATCCCCCTAAACATTCTCATGTGGGTAAATTTAAGTATTTAATTCTTTTTTTTTAAAAAAAATTCCTTTTTGTAAGAAACAAACAAAAAGAATCGAACAGAGAGACAGACAGGAATCAACTAATTTTTTCTGGGTGAAAAAAAAATTGCACTGAAAAGAAAATCTTCTTTTTTTTTTTTTTACAGCAACAATGCTGGGATATTCTCTCAGAATCTGGAGTTCTCCGAAGACAAAATTGAGATGACATTTGCCACAAATTACCTAGGTAAATTGTGTACCTACTTTTTCCCCCACAATTTTTGTTTTTTACATATATTTTAGTAAATAGGCATTTATTTACCCCCAAAAAAAAATAATAAATAAAGGTGTTTGGTAGTTTGGTAGCCCTTTTTGTTCCCTTGTTGCTTTTGGGCCTTCTGGGTACTCTAGAAGGAGAGACCACCTACCCAAGCCCAACCTAATGTCTTTTCTAGACCCAACAAGGATTAATAACATATTTTCTTTATTTCTATGCAGGACATTATTTATTGACAGAGTTATTGTTAGAGAAGATGATAGAGACGGCAGCACAAACAGGCATTCAAGGAAGAATCATAAATCTTTCTTCTGTAGTTCACAGCTGGGTGAAAAAAGATGGCTTCTGCTTCAGACAAATGCTTAATCCTAAGAAGTAAATATCAAACACGTGATATCAGATTTAAATATCTTGGAAATCCTCATATTTTTGGTATTTCATCATCTATATCATCTATCAGTCTTTGCTAATTTATACTACTTTTCTATGGCTGATGCAGTTATAATGGCACACGGGCATATGCTCAGTCCAAATTGGCTAACATATTGCATGCCAAGGAATTGGCCAGACAGCTAAAGGTCAGACCCTACAAGTTTTCCTTTTTCATTTTTTCCATTCTAAAAACTTTTTTTCCTTTTTTTTGGCCAACCATTCTAAAAAGGTTGGAAACACTCATTTTCCGTTTCCAACTTTAAAGTCTTTCCCCTATGGAATCAAATACAGGCAAGGAATGCAAGAGTAACTATAAATGCTGTACATCCAGGCATTGTAAAGACTGGCATTATTAGGGCACATAAGGGTTTCATTACAGGCAAGAACTAATCCTCTTCGAATGACTCCTTCAATTGGTTATATTAATCAATCATATTTCTATGTTTATGTTAATAACAAAAGTGCTGTGTATAAACTATTTTCCGCAGATTCTATCTATTTTCTTGCCTCCAAGCTGTTAAAATCTACATCTCAGGTTTGTCCATTCATAAATGTACATTTTATTGCCCTAAAGAGACATCTAGGACTGAGTGCCTGCTGGTTCACCTTCTGCTATCCTAGAAGCTAATGCTAGACCCAAAAATAGATTATTAAAAAAAGCATATTATTTCTCTAGAAACATGTTCAACTTCTAAAGGCAGAAAAAAAAACCTTAAATTTCAAATAAAAGGCAATGTATTGATTGACTTAGAGAGATTTACCATGCATGGAATTGTGCCTGCAGGGTGCATCAACCACATGCTATGTTGCTCTGAGCCCACAAACAGAGGGGGTGAGTGGGAAATACTTTGCGGACTGCAATGAGAATAACTGCTCAGCCATAGCAAATGATGAAGGCGAGGCACAACGGCTATTGAGGCAGACCCGTGCCTTGGTCCAGAGACTATCACATCAACAACCAGCTTAGAAGTTAGAACGTTATCTCAAGCACATGCGAGGACATAAAATTTTAGAATAAGCCCTGTACAGGCACTGTACTTTTGTACATGATACAAGATATTTACAGGAGTAGCCTGGAGGTAGTTACCTAAGACAATAAATAAAGGGGTTTTAGAAACTAGAATTATCTCTACTTTAACCACCAAATCAATGCATCTATGATTCTGAGTTAAATAACAAAATATGACAATTTTAACCTAGAGAGGAGCCTACATGTGTTGCATCTTCATGAAATTTACCTATCCAATAGCAAAACTTGTACAAAATTCTCTATAGAGACAACCAGCGTATTGGTATGATTTCTACCAAAAAAAAAGCGTATTGGTATGATAAATTAAATACAAATGGGTATTAAGGCATTATTCTAATCATGTCTTGAAAGTGGTGGCACAACCAAAGAAACCATTAGAGATACCATTCAACTGCATTAACATAAAGCTGAAACATAAAAATAAAGTAAGGCTTACTTATTGCCGCAGTTAACTTAAAGGAGGTAAAAGTTCCTTGACTGCATGCTTAAAGAAGAGTTTGCAAATAAATGAAAAATACAAATGACAGCCATCAATTTTAAAGCCTGATTTGACAGAATCTTCACACGTCCTCCAGAAGACGAGAAAATGAAATAGCATATTACATCACAAGATGGAGAATAAGAAATATCAGCATATTACATTAAAAGATATTTAACAATCAATCATGCAGTAGATTAACAAAATTGAAGAAAATACCAACATTTGACATTGCAGAATTTTGTGACAATTAGATTACATTCAATCCATCAATACTTCATTTCAACAATGAAGTACAAATACAAACCTAGAAACCTGGCGAAGCTGTCATTTCCGGTGAGTGACACCACTTGCCTTGTTGGACTAGTTCAATCTAAATTCTATAAAACATATGCATATTGCAAATCAGGCACCAGACCTGACGTCAATTGTCACACAACCTAGTTATCTATCACATTTAGCGAGGAAAGTGAAGGTACATGAACCACTGTACCAAATTAGAAGTATTGCTCATCCTCCATAATCTTCATTTCCTTACCTGCCATATATTGCAACATTTTTTATTAGAAATTTTAATCATATGATCATAGATATTTGCAGCTAATGATCATAGAAACCACATGATTAATAACATTTACATTATCATGCCAAGAATGACTTCTCCTGGAACCATTAGCATGGCAAAAACAACTACATTAAAGAACATTTTATCCACAAAATTCATGCACTCACTCTATTTTCCAAGAAGTTTTAAAAGTTTAGCTTCAACATGGAAAGAGAGAGTATGTTCTTGAACAATCAACAACCAACAAACAAATGTAAAGCATCCACACAATTCACATATGCAACATAAAGTTCCTTGATGACAAAATGAACAAGTACAACACCTATGTAAGATACAGGTCAGGCACACAAGAATCTTGCAGGTAAGGTTGCTAATATAAATGCAAGACTCTAGACCAATTGTCAATAGGTTGTATGATTTGCCTCCAAATCAAACAGATCCCCATTCACATCTAATGATGCAATGATTTTTATCATACTTTTATCGCACCTTAGTGTGTTGTTTTGAAAGGAAACAAAATTGCACTAATTCATTAACCCAGCCTTAGACCCATTTCAATATGAGGAGAAGAATCATGCCTCAACATTAGCCATGTTTATCTACTTTAGTTGCAGCCTTTTACTCTGCATATGTAATAAGTAAATATAATTAATAAGAGAATACCTTCAATCGAGTGGATCGACGAGGAGTTACTGATTCAGGTGATAAAATTGATGATTTGGTCCCTCTTCCACGGTTAACTTTCTTGTAATGTGAATTAACCTTCCCATCACTAATTTGGTTATCATTCATTTTATCTAGAGATTCACTTATGGGGTAAACTTCCTTGCAAAGTCTATTCACTTCTCCAAGTTGACCCTGATGGTCATCTCTCATGGCTGGAGATTCACTTGTTTCTGTTGAAACTGAAAAAACTGGAGCAGACAGAGAAATTGTGGAGGACTCCTGACAAAGACTTGTGGATTGAGGCAGCAATCCTGAAGGGTCATTAATGATGAAAGAAATCTATTTAGAAACATCATATTCAGCTTGGAGACGAAAGGATAAGCCCGACATACAGAATTCTATCCAATTACATGGCTCCACATATAGAAGAATGAACATGCAAAACCATGTCAGGAATCCTACATGCGTTTTGCTTTAATGACTGCAAATAACTTAGAATATTTTCAGTAAAGAGGAACCATGTTACTAAAATACAGAAGGGTCATTAAGCACTCGAGATGCAGGGAAAAAAGGCAAAAGAAGATAGCATACCATGTGCTGCAGCTTCTTGAAACTTCTGCCTCATGATAATGACAAATTTGAATAGGCCGTTTGTTCTATTCAAATCATGAATCAAATCCTTGATGCCATTTACGTGTGGGTCACAATCCAACACTGAAGATCACAAGGAAGAAATTAAAAGGATATCTTAAAAAAATTTTATATTAAAATATAGTTGATCTTGGAAATTTACTTACAGGTATATGTATCATTTGCATGACGAATGGAAAAGGAATACTCCTCCTTGGGATTTTGAGTATTAATATTGTTAAATGTGAATTTCACCCCTAGTTTTCCAAGGAAGCCCAAAAGATAAGGCATCTAAAGGGGGAATGGAACATCCAAGCAAAACTGCAAAAGAAGGATGAAAACTTTGCACCTCAAGCTTACCTTGTCCACCTTCAATGTGAAAACCAAGAACACAATTGTACCACGAAATGGCTTCTTGAATTTCCCCCCTGTGCTCAAAATCTTGTTTTCCCTTCTCTTCAGATATTGCCAATGCTATGGATAACAACAACCAAAAAAAAAACAAAAGAAAAAAAAAAAAAAAAAAGGGAAGCCACAGACTAAGTAACAAAATAGATTTTTTTTTTTTTTTTAAATATGCAAAGACTCTCAAATTGTCATAAGTAACTGGCCTTGATTTTATGGTTGATAGGACCTGGCCAGCCAATAAAAGCTTTAAAGGCAAAAATGGGATGCCCAATAAACAAGCACAAGCCAACAAAGTAAATATCCATTCAAACTTAAAAACTAGGTTAAATTTCAGACAGTGAAAACTTAAGTCATATTATTAACACATATAAGCAAACAAAATACCTAGAGATTGTTGTGATATAATTGCTGCATGTTCATCCCTCCTAGCTGTCTGGATCTGGACAGTTCTTTTAAGTTCTTCTATTCTAGCTTTTGCAGCTGATATGGATTCCCTTGTTGCCATCTGCTGGGCCTCTTTACGAGTCTTCACTATACAGCAACATAAAACAAAAACATTTTTGCTATTATAGAGAGAGATGCCAAATACAGCCTTTCCCCAAATTGTAACAAAAAAGGAATCTATATGTGAATAACTGATGAATCCTTTGCCAGTAGTGAAGTGTACAGAATCTCTAGACTCTAATGTGCAAAAATCTAAGATATATAAATAGTTCAAACATGAAGGGATGTATTCCACATGAAATTCCTAACAGTCTCAAGAGAAAGGAATGCAGAGTTTCTTTTTCTTATGAGAAGTATACCACCTTATATAATAGATACGATGCAATGCAATTAAAGAGTATCAGGCAATGTCAAAATGTCCTCAAAACTCCAACTATTTTGCATGAGGCAGATGAACACCTTTTTATTGGGTCTCTTGCTTATAAACAACAAACAATTTTCTCAAATCTAAGACAACAATTCCCACAGCCATGTTTCCATAGCATTACAAATTAGCACAGTGCTATGGATAAAATTTCAACCATATAATCTTAAAATAGATTACAATCTAAATGCCAAACACAATTGCATATTTTTTCTCAAATGCAGCTGAGACAAACCAAGAGTTTAGTTATAACCCACATATACAAAATTACTCAGAAATCAGAAACATACTTTTCTACTAGCTAGTTAACATGTTCTTCATCCCATCCGTACCTGCTAAAACTTTGACGAGCTTATCCTCCGCTTCTCTCAGATTCGCTTTCATATTTGCTAATTTAGCTGCAATGCACAAAGAGAAAGCCCCAGATTTAACAATCTTAACCAAGAATCATAACCAATACCGCAAACGCAATTCTCAGTTGATGAAAAACGCTTCAAATTCTCCAGTTTACAAACCCTAATCTTTTCTGGAACCTCCTTGTACAAAAATTACGCATAAAAAATTTAAAAATACCAACGGAAACTCTAAATTTAGAGAAGTTTCGTACCAACCTTGATTTTCTGCATTTTCTTTCGCTCGAGCGTTGACGGAATCGAGCGATGTTTCAAACGAAGCCGCGAAGGCATCCATCTTCTGCTGCTGCATCGGAATCTCTCCGTCGGAGATCAGCCGCAGTGACTCCATCTTGTTGCGTACAGACTCCTCCGTTTGGCTATGCATTTGAACTCTAGATAGGAGGAGAGATTTTGGGTGATATCAATTTAGCCCGCCATTTTTACATTCAAGTGCGAGTTCCAGCGGTAGAGAGAGTAGTCTTGCAGTCCCTTGGGATATGAATTTTTTTTTTTAAATGCCAGAAGAAGGTTATGATATTGTGGCGGTCATTTCATGCTGGTTTGGTGATATGCCCCTTAGATGTGAGACATGTGGCAGGGAAGAACCGGTTTTATGATGGTGACACGTTGGCTGGAGCTATTGTCTAACAAAGATTAATTAAAAAAAAAATTGGGTTTATCCTCCCATTTTAAGATCATTAAGGCTGAACATTTCGAGGGTTTTTATGATATCCAAAGTCAGGATGAATGTGAAATTTAACGTGTAATTAGTATGATTATTATATAAATTTTTCATTCATATAATTAGGGTTTGAATCCTCTTACCCTCATTTTTTTTTTTTCATTTATCTCCAATTCTCTTTTGTACAAAAAGAAAAAAGTAAGGATAAATATCTTGAGTTTTTTTTTTTTTATGAAAGTTATCATTACTTATTAGGGTGATTAAAATAATTAACCTTGACAAAGTAAAATTAAGTCACAATTTTATTAAACCAATGAAGTTTTAGATCATTTGATTAAGAAAATTAGAGTTAAAACTTATAACAATTTCTTAGTTATAAATTTAAACACTGCTTTTACTCTCCATTTAAAAATGATCATTTCACTGTTAAGAGATAAGTTAAATGGTTAAGAATTTAAGATATTTAAATTTTAAGTTAAATGAAAAAAGTAATTTAAAAAAAAAGGATGACTACTCTCGCAAAATATTATATTAGAATTATGATATGAATCACTAGAGTATGAATCCTGACAAAGTTAAATGACCATATTCAATTCTTATTTATATTTTATAAAATATAAATAAAGTTAAAAATCATTTTTAACATATAAAATTAAAAAATTTCTTATAACTAAGGACAAAAATTTTCAAAACTTTTCTAATTAAGAATATGGTTGTGTGTGTATATATATAGATATTACTAATCAATAATACTACTTTTATAATTTCACAAAAAAATTAAATATATGCACAATTTTACTAAAAAAAGAATTAAATAGCCATGCACAATTATATGTTTCATCTAAAACTTTTAATTTTGAAAGGTGATAATATTAATTAGTAAGGATAAAACATGTTATAGCGTATGAGCTATATAATCTTGGAATTATTTTGACTTACTAAGTATAAAAGGAGGTTTTTAGTGTTTATAATTTTTTCCATATTTTAATTAAAAAAGAAAAAGAAAAAAAAAAAGAAGGAAGACTAATATATATAAAGGCTCAGCACCACAAAATCCCTAAACAAAGTAACTGAACATGGGGTTGCCTATATCGAACTTGTTCAGCTGTACAGGTCATCATCGTCTCCGGCAGCAGTAGAGGTGGCAAAAGGGGCAGACCCACCTGCAGCATTCTCAGTTCTATCTGCAAAACGGAATTCAGAACCAAATCCGCGAGATTGCTGCAAGGTCTGAGCAAAGACCTGATACTTCCTGATGTCTGCATCACTAACACTTCGCCGTGCATATTTCATTGATTCCTCAAAGTGTGCTGGCTTGATTTCAGCTACATCATCTGTCTCATCTTCCTCCATTGCTTCGGGGTTCCCCTGCTTCTTCTTCTCTTTCTCAAGATCCTGTCAAAAAGAGCAGGTTAAATGGAAGAACGTAATTTCAGTACTTAAACTTAAAGAAGACACTCTCACCTTCTCAATGTTTTCTCTGATAGCGTATTTACAGGCACGCTGGCATATTTCAGTTACATCTGCACCACTGAAACCATGAGTGTATCGGGCTAGAGCTTCTAAATTAACATGTTGAGAAACAGGTGATTTCCGCAAGCATGCTTTGAATATCTGAAGGCGAGAAGCCTCATCTGGTAAGGGAATGTAAATCAACTGGTCCAGACGTCCAGGTCTAAGCAATGCTGGGTCAATGATATCTGGCCTGTTTGTTGCTCCAATTATGAAAACTGTCTTCTTAGCGTTCATGCCATCCATTTCTGTCAGGAGTTGATTCAAAACTCTATCAGCCGCACCGCCAGCATCTCCAACAGAACTGCCACGCTGAAAATTTCCACACCAAGAACATACATAACAATTATAATCAACAACATATAATAATTTGCAGGTCAGGATATGAAAGAAATTATGGGTAAGAAAATTTACCTGAGTTGCTATTGAATCAAGTTCATCGAAGAATAGTACACATGGAGCTGACTGACGTGCCTTGTCAAATATCTCTCGAACATTTGCCTCACTTTCTCCAAACCACATTGTCAGCAACTCAGGCCCTTTGACACTTATGAAGTTGGCCTGGCATTCATTGGCAATTGCTTTGGCAAGGAGTGTTTTACCACAGCCAGGTGGACCATAAAAGAGAACACCTTTGGAAGGTGACATGCCAAATTTCTCAAACTTCTCTGGATGCTCCACAGGGTACTGGACAGTCTAAAAAAGTGCCACCACAGCCAAAGGTTTAGCATGGATAAAACTCAGAAAAAATGAACAAGTTGACAGCTTTGATTGGTCATGTATACATACCTCTTGAAGTTCTCTTTTAACATTTTCCAACCCACCAATATCATCCCAAGAGACGTTAGGAACTTCAACCACCTGCCAATCAAGGGCAATTTTGTCATGCTCCATAAATAATATAACATGTTTAGATTTCATTTTTGAAACAAAACATTGACAGAACTTACTGTTTCTCGCAAGGCTGATGGATTTGAAGCCCCCAAGGCAGTTTGAAAGTGATCATTAGTCACGGCCATTGAATTTAGCACCTCAGCATCAATTGTCTCATCCTCCAGATCAATGACATCCATTTTCTCCCGGATACACTGAAGAGCAGCCTCTGTGCAAAGGGCAGCAAGATCCGCACCAACATAGCCATGGGTGTCTTTTGCAACTCTTTCAAGATCAACCTGTGAAATGATGAAAATTAAATGTGAGAATGTATTGCTGCAACAGAGAAAAAAAAAAAGTGAATTAAGATTAACATGATAATGTAAATAAACAAGATCTTACATCATCTGCAAGTTTCATATTCTTTGTGTGGATTCTTAGAACTTCCAACCTTCCAACTTCATCTGGCACACCTATGTCAATCTCCCTATCAAATCTTCCAAATCTCCTCAATGCAGGGTCTATGCTATTAGGCCTATTAGTAGCGCCCATTACAATCACATGAGATCGAGACTTGAGGCCATCCATTAAAGTCAGAAGTTGGGACACTATACGCCTCTCCACTTCACCATGTGTCTTTTCTCTCTTTGGAGCAATGGAATCTAACTCATCAATAAATATGATAGATGGGGCATTCTTTTCAGCTTCCTCAAATGCCTTCCTCAAGTTGCTTTCACTCTCACCAGCTAACTTTGACATGATTTCAGGCCCATTTATTAGAAAGAAAAATGCTCCTGTCTCATTGGCAACAGCTCTAGCAATCAAGGTTTTCCCAGACCCAGGTGGTCCATAAAGCAGGATACCTTTAGGAGGCTTAACACCAATTGATTTGAAGAGCTGCGGGTGTCTAAGAGGAAGTTCAACTAGCTCACGAATTTGAGCCATTTGCTTCCTGACACCACCAACATCATCATATCCTACTTCATTCAATGCCTCTTCATCCTCACGCTTAATAGGTTCTCCTTCACAAAAGATTTCAGTATCTGGTGCAACAATACAGTATTCACCAGGGTCTGTCTCAATTACTTTAAACTCAACACTCCGCATCCCACCTCTAACCAGGAAGAGATCACCCTTCCTCACAGGTCGATAATTTTCCATGAAGTATGCTATTGAATCAAAGAGCAATGATAAGATATATTCAGAAGATAGGAAAATCATATAACAAAAGAAGACACAGGGTAAATCTGGAACATGATTAAGAAATTATTAACTTACGCTTCAAATATACTTCAAATAGGTTGCCAGTTAGCCCCTCAATTGTATCATCAATTGGAAGGGTGTGGACACGCCTTGCATACTTCACATCAGGACACTGATGAACAGATACAACATCACCGAGACGGACACTCAGATTCGACCTCACAACCTTGTTCATCCTAATTTTCGGTTCTTCACACTGTTCGTCACCAAGAACAATGCAAACTGTATCCCTTCGCTTCTTCCCCTAAATCACAAAAAGATTTGTTAACTCTACATTCTGAACTAATCATGTGTATCTAACAATGTATAATAGGACAGAGTAAGCCAAACCCACCTTAATCAATATTGTGTCTCCTCGGAAAAACTGAAGCTTCTCCATGGTGGCAGGATGCATGACAACCAGAGAGTTATCATCCATAACTGCTTCATCAACGACCAGACGGTTGGGAGACTTTTTACGTTCCAAAATTGCAGTGGAATAGTCTTTCTTATTCTCTCTTCTGTTTAAAAAATAAAGAACTAGTTATTTCAGTGAAAAGGGTGCATTCTTACTACAGAATTTCCCCCAGAAAACCCCAAAAAAAAAAAAAAAAAAAAAAAGGAGTCTGCAAATTGCGCTTGTATTTTGATATTAAGTAGGAAATCATTAAAATTTTCCCTAAAAAATAAAAAAAGTATCCAGATTGCAATTGGATTTTTGCTTTAAAAGGAAATCATTAACTCATCAACGAGACATAACCAATAGACATAAACAATCACAACTTTCGCTTTCCAACTACAAAAGATCAAAACTTGATCAACACCCAGTTCATGAAATCAAAACATAGATAAACGCAACCCCAACTGCAGAAGATCAAAACTTGATCAACAACCAGTAAAACCCACAATTTTTAAACCCCAAACAAGATCATTCAACTTAAAAAAACAAATAGGAAACAAAAATTGGGCTTGGGGAATGAAGATGAAAAAACAGACTTACGGTTCATCAGAAGCGGGTTGAACAGATGAACTTGAATCCGCCATGGAATTCTCTCCGTCAGCAGGCAGCAGTGGTGGTAGCTATTAGGGTTTGTTGGGTTACTAGGAATCCTAGTTTCTGTGCTTCAATGAAGATGAATGATGAATATATATATGCGAAAAAGTTAGGCTTTTTCGATTCCAATACGTTTTTGGACTTCTATAGTTCCAATGGACTTCCGATAGACTTCCGTTGGGACTGTGTCACCGCTATATTCCGTAGAATCCGTACGTGGGGTAAGCGTCGGTTCCACGTGGCGAATTGAAAATAGCAACGGAATGACGTGCCATTTATATAGGAGGAACGTATAAATCGGCCCCTAATATTATGCACTTAATCCATCAAGACCTGATTTAGTTTTTTAGTCAAATAAGCCCCAATTTCGACTATTTTTGTATGAACTAAAAAATTACAATAATTATGGAAATTTTAACAGGTGTTTTCTTTTAGTATTTTGTAAACAAATATCAATTGTTAGCTCTAATTAAATGGATTAAATATTTTAAATTATAAATAACAATGATTATTAATCAACAAATATTGATTATCAATTATCAGATATTTATTATCAACTATAAATTATATTTAAATAGTTAATTTAAGCACCTTTAAATTAAATGATTGTTTACTATCAATTAGATCCTTGATTCTTTTTTTTTTCTAAGAAAAAATCAAAATTAATAAAGAAAGCTTGTTTAATTTAGAAAGCTTAGTCTCTATATTTTCTAACCATTTGAATTTTAGATTTCAACTTTTTAAAGTTTGGACTTTCAAAAAGAAAGAGTGATATATTTTTTATTTTAAAATTTTTTTAATTTACTTAGACTCTATTTAGTTTGATTGTTAGGAATATTTAGTAGTTGTAGTTGTTAGCTAATTACCAATAAAATAAATCATATCTACTAGTTAACATTTTGAAATCAACTCATACACAATATGTTGATGTTTCTTAACATTCTAACAATTTATTTAAGGAAGGCTAATAAAAAAAAACAAAAAAGAAAAAAAAAACACACACACACACACATTATTAACCTTTTAAATTAATAATTCATTCATTAAAGAAAAAATTTTGTTTTAGTTAAAAAAAATAAAAATTTGTATATAATTTTGCAAAATCTTGAAGTTGAGGAGCTTATTGACCTAAAAAATTCATTAGGGATCAATTAATTAGTGTAGAACTTAAGAGGCTACGCTACCTAAATTTTGGTTTTTTTTTTTTTTCATTTATATGTTGTTTCCATTAAAATAATAATACTAATAATAAAAACGACACGTCACTCAAGCAATACCGTGACGACGATGGGGGCGTCGAATTGCGGAAGCGTCTACGACAAGGGCCTCGCCGGAATTCCAAATTCGTCTCTTTGAGAGGCTCAAGAAAGGGAAAAACGGGTATCAAGATTGGAGGATGCATACCGAACGTGAATGGTAAAGAACCGAGCTTTGGCGAATTTGCAGAGATACAGTACTTAGCTAGAAACGAGCCCATGGTGCTTACAAATCTTAGACTGGGTTACCCACGATCTAAAATCCAAAGTTTAGGTACTTAATCCTTCAAATTCCTAGTCTTTCTTGTCTTAAGGCTAGAATGATCTCAGAGTCAGTTGCTTCAGCATCTTTTAGGATTTGGGTTTGGATGATTTGCTTGTGTTCTGGGGTATTTGTTCATTAGTGCTGGATTGATGGTCAATATTTCACGTCCTTTGTGTGTTTGCTAATAGATTGCAGAGTGTGGGATAAGAGAATTTAGTGATCAGAAGAGTATAAAAATGTCTGTTTCAGAATTTGTTAACCACTGCCTTGAGGATGATTCCGTGGAGGATCATGAGGCTAATGGGATGGCATTTTGTAAAGTTAGTTTCTTGTTCAGTTTTATATAGTCATTCCACTCCCAGATTAGCCATTTACAAGCAGTGTCAGTTTGAGTTGGAGTCCTTACTTTCCCACAGTTTAGCTCTTGTGCGTTTTTGGCTGCTAGTTCAGAACTTAATATGATAGTTCTCTATGATTTTCTATTCTTGATATTTATCTCCTTCCATTGCTGCACAATGTAGCAATTGTTATTCATATCCTCTTTTATCTGATTGTCAGGAGTACCCATTATATGTAATGGACAAATGTAGCGTACAGAAGAACACTGCTGGTTGTTGTGTATTTTGTGTGTGTGTGTGTGTGTGATGATTGGCTCAATCTGTATGTGCACAATTATCGCCTGCATATGGATCCTGATACTTACAAAGAAAATAATGAAATATGTTGCTCTGATTCTGGTTTTGTTGATACAGGAGCAAAAGGTTTTATTGTTTGAGCATAGATGTGACAAGCTTATTTTTCTTGTTGGATGTACATATGTATCTCATCATAGGATCTATCTAGGGGCTGTTTTATTGGATTTAATGTTAGCCTAGAGGCTACTGCCTAACTTCAAATCCTGTTGTGTAGGATCTTGGACTTCTCTTCATGTTGATGTTTTCAGGTCATATAATAAGTCTCAGCCAATGTCTGTGGGAGGAAAAAGTGGCTTTTTTCTCCTTCAGCTCAATGTCATCTAGTTTTTGACAGGAATGCAGACCCCTTGAAGTATTTTTTACCTTTTTTAATTTAGTTTAATCTTTTGTTTCTTGACTGTTGTCACGTTCTATTTAGGAACATGAGAAGCTACGCGTATAATATCTTTGAACAAGTTTGCAAAACTAAATTCCCTGGTTTTGGTAAGGCATATCACCAATATGGATCTTCTAGTTCTTACGCAAGTCCTCTCTTCCATACACCTTTTTAAGTCCATTTGTTTCTAATTTTATGTCTGCTGCTGGCTACATTGGCTGGAGTGTACTCTGGAAAAGAATGATTATCTTTGGGCCCGGTGGATGGTATAATCAAGTCCATAATCTGGCAACTAAACCTTCCAGAACCTGGAGTGACTATTTGTGTTTCGAAAAGGTTCGTGAACATAACAAAGAGAGTAGGGTTGCAGTTTCACTAAAGGATTATATGGTATATTTTTTATCTGCATGCTTAAAGAACGACTTTCTTTTTCATTAAGATTTACCTATGTTATTTTTTTGGGAGGACACAATATCAATAAACCACAACTGGTTCAATGCCTATAAGCTTTCCTGAGTGGTAAGTGCATTACTAAGAAAAGTTAATTACTCCCTGGAAGTTTTTATTCATTGTGGGTTGGAGGCTGGGGAAGAGTGGTTTTCAGTTTTTCACAGCTAAATACAATTGTTACTAGGTTATGTAGCCTTGGAATTGGGCCATGCAACCAGAAATCCTGGTAGGGCAACCTTTTCTGATATGAATGATTATTTTCATATCCACCTGAAGTTGAGTTTGTGGTTGTGGTCATTCAGCATTTATTTGACCTGGCCTAAGGTATTGATGAGAGTACCTTAATTGAATAATATAGATAATTTAGTTATCAATTTCTGCAGGCTTAAATCAATGTCTGCAATGATGAACTGATTAAACATCAAAAGTTACCATTAAAAATAAAAATAAAAAAACTTCAAAGTTAATTCAACAAAATACCTACTTGACAGCAAATTCTGTTTACTAATGTGATTTCTCTGACAACACTTCTAGTTTGAGATTTCCAACATTGAGGTTATTTGTACCTTGCTATTTACTCATGGGTTTTGCTTTCACAGGCATTAATTTCTCATTCTCCATATCCCACTTTTCCTTGGCCAATTGGTCCAGCTTTATTATCTACATATCAACACAAACTACGAAAGTTCCAATTTGGAGTTGGTCCCCAACAACTTGGCATTTAGATTTTAACCTTGCATCTATACGTAAAATGGCATTAAAGAGACTGTCTGAAAATTGCCTGACAGGAAACTACAGCATTTTGGATTTGAGTGAATCCCTAGAAAACCCTCAGTTTCTTAAACTGTGTGCAGATTTGGAAAAGGACTTACCCTGAACAAGAGAGCCAGAGAACTCAAAGAATTTATATAAAGTTTTTATGGTTCTTTTGGAGAAAAATAGATCTCAAGTCTGCACTCTGAGATCTAGTTAAATTTATAGACTCTTCTATTGCCAAAATTAGTGGCAGTTGGGGAGAAGAAAACATTTTGCTGTCTTTTTTAGATGATTCTCAACCACATGTAGATGCCAATGGTACTTGTGCCATTTATGTGATCTGTTCATGGAGATGATATAATGCATGAGTATATGAACTTTTGACTCGACTAACTTGCAAACCCCCTTGCTTACATGCAACAGGGAATAGGCACCTGGCAAGGACCTTGTGTTGGCCTAGCCTGCTGAAATTGTTTTCCCATTCTTATTTTCCTTGGCCTGGTAGTATTATTAAGATCTAAAATACTTTGCTGTCGCTCTCACTCACTCCATTGGATCGGCTGGAGGCGATCTAAGAGTTTGTTGGGAGATTAGGCATGATAGACATTCACTTTCCCAATGTGGGAGTTGGTTTTTTTTTGGACAGTGAGATGTCTCAGTGTCAGCTTTTTCATATTTTGAAACTAACCTTTTTTAGGCAATCTTAAGGGCAAACCTCAATGTAGGAGTTAGTTGTTTAAAGTTTAAACTCCAAATTCATGCAGGACAAACAATAGAAACTCAATTAGGCTGTTCATGTTTTCCTTTTAAATCACCAACCTTTTAAATCACCAACCTAGAGGGTCACTAAGATTCATCACTGTATTTTTGTTTTATTTTTTTCTAGAGAGCTGGTTTGAAAATTAAAAATGTATAAGAAAATTTTCTTTCTTGTTCCTCCCGCATGCATTTTTGCGTACCTGTCAAATTGATCTTAATATTTTTAAGTTCTTTCCCATTAAGTGCTTCTAATAGAAGCACCTTTCCCTCAGGCTTTGATCTTGAGTTCGATCCCCCCCCCCCTAAGATTGTAATGGTTCAAAAATGGTGCCTTTTAGATCAGTTTTTGAAATGTGCTTGTTAAAGGCTGTTTTGGCCCTTTCTTGAGGTCATTACCTCCAGCTGTCCTAAACAGGAGGAAAGTACAGACAACTAACTGTTATTAACAATTTTGTATTTCCCCTAAAATTTACATAGAATCCCAAAAGTGGGAAATTACCTATAAGGGGAAGGAAAATATACATTGAACACACACGCCAAAAAAAGAAAAAAGAAAAAAAAAACTCTAAAAAAATAAGCCAAACCATGTTAAGGGTAGCAGGAAAACCAAATACCCAGAAAGAAAATCAGAGAAAAATAGTGGCTGACCCTTTAATCTTTTTACCCTATGCTTTTTTGACTTTTGTTCATGGACACCTCACATTTCTTCCAGGACCTCCATAGTAGAAGTAAGTTCCCCAAACACTATTTCTCCCTTGTCTTATATCATAACAGTTTGAATGATCAGCCAAGAGATGAAGGTTTGTTAAGGGAAGCAAGTTGTTATCCCAATCCACAATTTGAAGGTTCCGGAAATAGGCTGCTTTTCCAAATCCTTCTCCTGCAAAATGGCCACTTCCCATCTGAGTGGATGTGTGGAATCCTGATGATCTTGTGTTGACAATTTCTCCACCAAATTGTATCATGCTGGCATGGCTTCTCAAATGACTGAACAAAAATGCTGGCCAGTATCCCACCAATAGTCCTGATCCAAACTCTAGCCACCAATTTCCATGCTTTGGATCCTACAAAGAAAATGTCGTAATGATCTCTAGTGTTTGTCTTGTGGATTAAACCTATTCATTGTACAACATAAACTAATATAGATAGCAGGAAGAAACTATGCAGTTCTTAAGCTGTCCAAATGGAAATCATATAAGATGGAAGTGATGGAGTTTTAGGCCAACACCATTGACTACATTTTAGGGCTTTAATATTACCTTCCAAACCATTAATCCAATATCAAATTGTCTGCCGTTGTAGGAGGACCTTGGAGAGATTGCTGCTCCAATAGCAATCTTGTTGTTAGTTTGTACAAAGCCAGAACATAGTAAATTGTAACATCCAGTGGCTTGGTATGCATCAGCCTGTAAATTAAAATCCAAATAAGTGCTATTTTTTCATTTTTACAATCTTACTAAGAAAAAAAAAACATAGTTAACACAACTTAGTGCTTACCGTCCAATAAGTGAAGAATCTAGGATAGTTATCACCATACAAGTCAGGGCTAACCTGAAGAAATATGAATGCCAATATTACTTATTAGAACATCAGAATATCTCGTAACAGTTGTGCAAGAGTGAGTGGTACAGAATGCAGAATCACGAACATGCCTGCCATCCAGCTTCAATGGTATTCAGATCATTGCCAAATGACCCTGAGATGATCCAAATCTGTGACAAGCTGAACTCATATTCACTAGTTACCTGCGGTGCCCATACATTTAGGTTTGCCTTTGCTCCGTAATACTGTTCTCCATTCACAAATAGAACAGCATGCTGTAACAGGCAATAAAAATGAGTGTCAGAGGCAAATATATGATAGAGTTTACTTAATCTAAGTAAATTACAGACGTATATTCTATATTTTCCTCCTCGAGACCAATGATTAACTTCATTCCTGGTTGAAGCTAGGAAATTGTGAGTGTTGTTTTGATTAATTCAACAGTGATTTTATTGCTAACCTCATGACCATTCCCGGTTGAGTCTCTCCTTACATTTCTTCTCAATTTTCTTCCATAGTTTCTAATGGAACTTGCTCTCAGAATATCCTTCTCTGCAGTTCTCCTGATTGGAACAGTTCCTTCAGGGCACGATTCACCTGAATCTGTCCAAAGCTGGAGGCTTTCCCTTACTGCTTCTGTCCAATTATGGTCTCTTGGCCTCTCTGGGGGATCCTGCAATTTTCCATTTACAGAAGTATTTCAGGTTTGCACCAATCCCAAATGCTCAATGCAAATTTTGCCCCAAAAGCAAAAAAAGGCAGAAAAAGTTGTCTCTTTGAAAGAAATTGTCATGAAAAATTACCAATGGCTTCTGCCCTCTAAGCTCAGGATGATCAAAGGCTGGTTGAAGATGAGACAGAACACAATCTATCAAATCCCCATCAGGGCTCTGCCCAAAAAATGAAGGAGCGCAAATCATTGAACTTGTAAGAAACAAGAAATTATCAACTCATTACACAAAAACAAAAAATAAAGAAGGAAGTGGGGGAAAATGCCTGAATTGTTTTGACCGCAGGTTTGTTGATCTTCTTGAGATAAGCATTGATTCTCCTTAGCTTCTGAATCTCCTTGTAGGGTCTAAAAGTCTGGTTGGCCACTGGCCGGTGACCGGAGTCTGGAATCAATGGCACAGACAGGACGAGGCCAAGAGAGGAGGAAATAACAAGGAAAGCAATCAGGGCAGGTATCATTGGGAAAGTGTTGAGGGAAACAAAATAACCCATTTTTGTGGAATGTCTTTGTGCTGTTGTTTGTTTTGGTATGAATGGTTGTGTTTGTATATACTGGTATTGACCTGTTGTGTTCAGGACACAAAAAAGGTTATTCCAAAGGTGTTTTGTCCATGGAAATGAATCGCCCTTCACGTCCTTTCAAAACTCAAGAAACCTTTCAAAGAGAAAAACACCCCTTAGTTTTTTATCACTTCTCCTTTTTCAACAATTAAACAACCCCTCCCCACCCCCCCTTTCTCTCTCTTTCTTCCTCCCCAAGTGAGATTCTGTTTAAGCGTCTTGATTTTTGTATTCTGGCACATAAGAAACTTCAGGCATGAGCACACTAAAATGAGGTTTTATCTTTTATAGATGGTATTGTACTTTCCATGTTTTACTTTTACATACACTCCATCAGTTCGGTCAAACCGTGTGTCCCCCTCCTTTTTTAATGGAAACTTGTTTTCTCCAAGGGAATGAGAAAGGGTTTCAAACTAAAGGAAACAAAACTGAGAATCTGACCATTCCACCGATTTTCTTGAAATTCTTTGCTTGGAATCTGAGGAAGCATCATCATGAGAAAATAGAAGAAGAATCACTCTTCTTTGAACTTCAACTTCCTATGATCTCATTATGTCCTTAACTACTAGATCAATGTTATACTAATATTTAAATCATTAACACATTTTAAATTACTGAACCAATGTCTCACTAAAGCTTTTGGATCACCTGTTAATAACTCAAAATAGAGGTCTCTAGTTCTGTTAAGAGAGAAAAATAAAAAATTCCCCTTTATTTCCAATTTTGTGTGCCTAACTATGCAATTCTAATTATCCCAGATGAAGGGAAGAGCACATGACAAGATGCAATGTCACAATCCACCACTGAATTTCCACCTAATTTTATATACAAACTCTCTGGATTTGTTATGATTGTCCAGAGAAACAGAGAAGAAAGGAGTGACAACACGGACCGGTGCTGGTATCACTATTGAATTTAACAGAATGTAGAGAACATTAGTGCATCTAAGTGGGTCAGATGCAATGATCATGTCCAAGAATACATGATGAAAATATGTAGAAATTTCTTCCTTTTGACTATTGTTATCCCCAAACCCAATTTTTCTTAATTATTTAATGGAATTCCAAGCTTACCTTTTAGTCATTTATCACATTATAACTAAAGCTTTTAGTTCGAACTTTTTTTTTACCACTATTGTGCCTAACCTAATTTTTCATAATGATATCTATGGATCATTATGATGATCAATGCAATTCCAAAATTATCTTTTGGACAGTAATTACGTCGTAATTTAAGCTGGTAAGTCAAACAAATTTAGTTAAAAGCAAAGGTTAAAAATAAGACAACTAAAATTTAAATATAAAAAGTAAAAAATAAAAAAAAAATTATTTCAAAATTTAATGGAATGAAAGTCTTTGCACTATGTATTATTCTAGAATATATAGATAACCATGTTATAAGTGGATTACTCGTTGTACTTTTTATTAATAAATTTTTTTTTCATTAAAAAATAATAATAAAAAAAAGAAAGAAAGAAAGCCTGTTAAATGGGTAGGCGGGTGACTTGATGAATCACTTAATGCATTATGGTACTGAAATGATTTTTGGGAGGCATAATGTACTGAGCGAGGTGACTTAATGACCAAATAATTATGGCCCAAATTAAAAAGTGCAACCAACAGCTAACTCAGACCCACCACACCAGCACCAGTGCACCACTGCTGTCACATTCAAATTGAACCATGGCTTGGCCCCTTCATTAATGACACTTATTGGAGAAACTAATTTCTCCTACCCCTCTGATCCACCAGACTATTTTTACCCAAAGCAGAGACAAATTTATCATAATATTTACTACACTCTGCAGGAGCAATGGGACCATGAACCCTTTATGTTGGTCTGGTTTGGTTAATTTATTCTTTCTACTGAACCAGGAAAAAACCCAAAGTGGCAGACTAGTAATGACTCTCTGATAACATGAATTCCCTTAATCATTAATTAATTATCCTAATTAAGTCAGTTTCTATATATATAGAGTTATGGAAATAGTTTTTATCCTTCTTACTTCTTAAATTAAAAAAAAAAATATTATTTTAAAATTACGTCATTTTAATAAATATTTATTGAAAAAAAATTAAAACATCATAATTTTTAAAGCATGAATTATTGTGTTTTTTTATTATTTTTCTTTCTAATTATTTTTAAAGTAAAACAGATAAACATTAACTTTTATTATTATTAAACATATATAATCAAATTTAATATAAACAATCTACTTGAATAAAATATTTAATCTAAATTGTATTGAAAACTATGGACTGATGTAAGAGTTGAAAATTCTCATACTAAGAATTAATGCGAAGAGAGTATCAACTATCAACATATTAGTGGAGCACTGGAATTTGTTCTATTGGTCAGGTCGGTGATTAATTGAAGAATAAGCCTCCTAGCTAGCCACACTATGGCAAGTCCTGTGACCGCATTCCGAAACGCTAATAGGATTTTTGAAAGATTTTATTTTATTCTTGAAATTGCTCTAGATTGTGGTTAATTTGGAATAAGAATGTGGGGAGGGGAGCAGAAAGATATGGACCCTTAGCCTTTGGTTATCTTTTTAGGTTCTGGGTTCTGGTGCATTGCTGCTTCCCACTTCCAAAAAAACTCTTCCCTTTTTGTTCACATTTCTTTATTTTTTCTCTCTTCTTTTCATAAATACCCACTTACAGTTCTCGCCCACCTCTGCAAAGAGATACGAAGACTTGATGGAGAAGCATATTGGATGGAGGGATTATTAAGGTATTTTCCTGTGCAAGCATGCTCTTTTGTAAAGTTGGTCTAAAAGAGAATTGATTCCTACTCCACATACACCTAGAGAGAATATATACACACATCTTTTGAAACTTTATTTCTTTATGCATAAAGGGAATGTGTTTTATTGACTTAATAATCATGTTGAACCATACAATCTGTTTCTGAAATAGTTACAAAGGCTGTCAATGCCATGCTTCTTGGAAGAATACAAAAATGACAGCATTGTGAAATTGTGAAATGGAAGGAATTTAAGAGTAGAGGAGATGGTGTTAATAGATGTAGAAGGAGGTGAGTGGGTTTTGATGAAACTGTTGCTCTGTTATAATTGTTCTTTTGGGGATGATCCCCTTCCTCAAATTTCTCACCTAACTTTTCAAAATTATAATTTAAGATCTCAAACTTAATAGTTTTTTTTTGTTGAGAAATCACCTTTAAGCCTTAATAATGGTAGGTAGTAGTGAGTAGTGATCACTTCATGATTTCAGCATCTTTATTCTCATCTACTTTCTGCATCAAAATTACAAAAGGATTCAAAATGTAGATGTGGAACTATCTGTCTAAAATAAGGAGAGAAATTAACAACGAGTACATATAATATGTAGTGAATAAGGTTGCATAATTGTACCATATGGATAACATTTACTATACTAAAAAGTTCTAGGGCAACAGAAGTTAAACAATGATAAGATCCTTACGCCACTTAGGATTTATGACGCATTGTTAATTACAGCACAATGAGGTTTAGACTTTTGAGGTTAAGTTCTTGTGCTCTGACCCTCGTTTAAGGAGTGGAAGTGCTGATGAAAATTGAGAATAATTGGAAGAGAGTAGGGAAAACCATGGCCATGGCAGTTAATAAATCAAGATTTTTCCTGAAAAGTACTTTTTCATTCTTGCCTGCCATCATCTCTACCAAACCAAGAAATAATATCCAAAAAGGCAAAATGCAATCTGATGGGGATGCTTGCTTGCCAAGCACAAGTGGAGATTGTACTACAACAACAGACTTTGTCTGAGCAATGGCACTCACACGGTACATTGGCACTCACACGGTGCGTGCTTGCAGAGTTAGAGAGGCTAAGATAGTGATGGATGAGGCATCCGGTAGGAGATGTGGAGAGCATGTGATACAGTGCATTTTATGCAGAAACATCTCTTTTCACTATCTTTACGGATGGAAAAGCTGCAAATATGGTGACTTTTCAAAAGCATAACTATAAATAATAAATCTTCAGAACTAGAATAGACTTGTCTTGCTAGGACAGTAAGCACATGGGTACGTATTGATACCACAGGGAATTTGCCCTTACTGTTTCCCTACATATTGTACGTTGGAAGTAAAAAAGCTTCTATATAAGCTTTGGCCATGATGGATTTAAAAAACCTAACTTGAAAAGCAAGGTAAAGCTCCAATAGGATTGTTGATGCATAAATTAGTTTACTAGTGGTCAATAAAGCTTCTTGTTAAGGAATTAATTATTAATTTTCTAACATTATTGATTGTAAGTTATAAAATAAAAGATAATTTTTTTTAAAATTTTTTTTTTTTTATCTTAAAATTGAAACATGAGACATTTTATCTTGAAATTTCAATTAAAACACTTTTTGTGAGAGAGGAAATAAAAGAAAAATGAATTAGTTGCATAATAGTGACATGAAACAGGCTCATGATGCTCTTGAAAAAAAGCTTAGAAGTAATTCCTTTTTTTTTTTTTTTTTTGTCTTTATGCATACATTTTTTCTGACACCGCCTAAAGGCCTAATGCCTCGCCAATTCTCAACCGATCTCCAACAGCCTATTTATGGGCCAGAAAATGCCGGTCCACTCAATTCTTAACGACGTTGTTCCCCATTTGCGTATCAGGAAGGCAAGGTGCGAGAACTGTAGTACCTACCACCGCTGGCTTTTTCCCGGAAAACAAACGGAAACGTGCGCAAGATATGATGACACAACCATTCTTTCTCCATTGGGTAGTCTTCCCTTTTTTCATTGATGCTGTGGTTTTTAAGGTTCTATAGGATTAGTGAGCAACCAATGTTCCAGGAAAATTTCCAGGCAGCATCATATTGCATTTGGGTTTTTACCACATTCAATCCAACATTACCACTTTCCATGAGTAAATCTGGTGCCAATTATACGATATCGACCCGAAAACTCATGGACTGAAAAGAAGAAGAAGTGATACCAATTAGAATGGTCCAACTTTCAACAATATGTAATGTTGCAGTAGTATCAACATGCATTTTTGCAAAGCTCCACGAGAACAATTTCCTCGTAACAAGTAACAACTCAAATAATGTGAGCAAGTTCTTATTAGAATGAAAAGAAAAAAACAAATGTTGAACAGATATGGTTGCTCATTAGGACACAGATTCCCATCCATTTCCACCTAATCTCTTACATATTCAACGACTTCAAGTTCTTTTCCTTGAGGAATGCATTCCATTCTACAGGCTTACGAGCTGCCCCTTCATAGGTGACATACTTTGGTAAATTTTTTCCATATGTAAGAAATGTACCCCCACTGGACACAGCTTTGCACACAGCAGTTGCTTGGTACCCATCACTGAAATTCAAACCTGCAGCAGGGTTTAGTTCACTGGCTAGCCGCTTCATGTACCTGCCAGCAAGAACCTATACATGTCAAGAAGTAAAAGGAACTGGAACCAATGAGTTGATGACCACAGCATGATTTCATTGCTTTTTTGGATGGTCAATTGCAAAAGATTGATACTTTTCAAGCACTCGTGGAAATCCAATTTTTATGTGATCAAACCTTCTGGTAGACTTAGTGCACACGTAACGTTATAGGGCAACATTCTGAAAAGCATGGTTAAACTTCACCAATTATGTAGTCATACCCATTTCATGGTATCTTTTCAATATAATCCCTAAAAGAAAAGACATGCATTTGATGGTTTAATAGTTTTTACAAATATGTTTTACCATATAATAATTCAATGAAGCAAAGCATAGTGTTTTGGTTGTAACTTTGACATTAAGTTTTACCTCATTTTGGCTTCCAAAAATCCATTCTTAATAGATAACAAGAATGCCTTTCATTAAGATTTAACTTTTACAGACAGGTGTGACCACTGTCTTATAGATATGAGAAAAGCTGCAGTTTAGGAAGATGAGTAGTAAATACCATGTTTTTGTGTAACTTTGGGGTACTACAATATCCCCACCAAGGGCCTTAAGCTCTTCAATAATATCAGGGGCTCCAGGCTTGTCTTCAATTATGCTCAAAGTTTGAAGCTTACGCTCTTTTGCCAACTGAATCACTGCTTTCCCAATTTCACTTTCTCCACAATTCTGCACCAATGTTGCACCTATTTATCCATCATTTCCATCACCCAAAACAACAAAACAACCATCAGAACAGCTATAATCTAACAGAACAAATCCCAAAACTAGTTACCCTCAATCTGAGTAGATACCAAATTCACATACACACAACTATATATACATAGTAATACATAAAAGAGGACAGTTTATGTCCATTGTAAAACACAAACACAGCAAAATGGTTGTGCATTTAATAGTTAGGAATCCAAAATTTTATTTTTTTAAAAATTACAGCCAAAAAGTCATCCCTTTCTATCATTTTTGGATTTCCCAGCAACCCAAACACTAATTTAAATTAATTGATTTCTCAACTCATCAGGCCAATTTTTTCTACATAGCTCCAAACAAAATAATAAGTTGTATCGAATCCTATCATTTTTGGATTTAAATGCACATTTTCCTAGTAAGAACTGCATACCCAGAACTCCAAATATTCGAATCCTACTTTGATTTCTAGTTTGGGTTCCAAATTTATGTAATTTTAAGATAAAAATTAGAACTTTTAAAAGGAATGTAGAATTGAGGGGTGGGTATTAGGTGACCTGGTTTAAGAGAGAGCGAATCCAAAA